TCGAAGGATATTTATGGAAATCCAAGAGGACGCTTACTTATGATATACCTACCGTTCCATATAGAAAGTTTAGGACTACCTGCAGCAAGGTTTTTACATCTACAACGCTATTTTGCAACGAGTTATAGGTACAACAAATTTTTTTCATTTTTCGCCCTTTTTCTGTTGTAACAAACTCATGCTTCATGGATTCTAACCCTAACTAGTGTCATTTGATATGCAAATGAAAGCTCTTTCATATGATTATAAAGATCTTGTATCTTACTCAAGCTTGTTTTCAAAAAAGGGATTATAATGACAAAAAATACATTTTATGGTTTTAAAAGAGCCATAACATGAACATAGTAAAATTATCTATACAATAGAAAACAGAATTATTAAGAGGTAACATTAGGCTTCTTGATGCATTAATTCCACTTGCATAGGAACACTTGTTCGCGAGATATTGTTTCTAAGAGAAAAAAAATCAAGGGTAAATTGGGACAAAAAATTTCAACGAGCCTCTGTCAGCCTAGCAGCAATACAAATGAATGGAGGTTGGGTTACGCCCACGCTTCCGTTTCCAATCCCTGTCATTTAATATCTATGCATTTTGCGAGACATAGTTAATGGGTGTGGTTATTTTGTTTTTAGTTCTGGCAGTGTATAAAGAAACCTGAAGCAATAGACCAATGGCCTGTGGGTAGATGGGTTCATGCAGGTGCTATTATTATAACTGGATCAGACTGTCCTATGCTAGTGATAAGTGGTGGGTTGGATAAGAATGATATATTAGATGATTGTTGGATCTTTAACATCACTCAACATTCCTGGATAAAGGTATGTTAGATATTATTAATAATTGATCTGTACAGTGAGATACATGTAAATTATTAATTTATTTCTATTAACAGTTAGATGTACCTCACTCTGTTAGTAAGAGATGGGCTCATTCTCTCTCAGTGTTCATTGTGAGTCCTCATTGTGTCTGGATGATAACTGCTGGAGGATGTGTTGATAAGAGACAAGTATTAGTCACTAATCCTAACATTGTTATGATAACTGAACTAGGTCAGTGTATTAGCCACACCCACCAATGAATACTATTAATTACCTAATTATAATTATTGGACTCGCCGCGTAGGCGGGTATTAAGTACAAACGAACCTCATATTTAAGTACAAAGTATTAGTACTTGGGTTGTCCTGCATATCTTAATGAGATTTTTTAAAAACTTTTTTAATTAAAAAACTAAGTCCTCTAGACTCATAGATCTTTCTCCACAGCTAGTCCAAGCCTTCATTTATCAGCTTAAAATGTTTAAGGAGCAGCGCTAGGGAGAAGAAGCTCGCAAAGTAAGGATGAAAAATTAAAAGAAATACAGAGATTATGCTGACACTCTTGAGATAGACAAAAGGATTTTCCAGTAGAAAACTACCTTCTAATTCATTAATGTGTAGAATTTCTGAATTCTTACTTGGTAGCAACTTATGCTCCAAACTTCATCCTGACCGTCCGACTTTGGGAAGGGTTGAGGTGGAAATATTTATTATTATTTATTATTATTAAGCTTTACAGACTCAGACACAAAATGACACAAAGAAGCATGACACACTAAAAAGGATGAGTCTGAAGGACACATACCAACTTGTGGCAGCCTAAAAAACTAACTATATACATATACTGTCAAACAATAAATTTTAATTAGATCTAGTAGTTGTCTTGAGACGAGTCCAGGCAGCGACAGGAGTCCAAGTTCTAATCCTAGGAGTAGCCAAAAACAGACCTGGTTAACCATCACGAACAGAATAACAAACACTAGAAGAAGGAGGGATATCCATTAAACTTTCAGTCTCAGAGTCAGAGTCGTTGGAGTTATGTGGGATATCAGAACTATGAGAAGTACGTCTAGCACGACCTCGTCTGACTTGACGTACTGGGGTCCAGTCTGTGAGTCCTGATTTAGTTGTATAAGTGACCCCAGAAATGCCATCTTTTTTTTCATACTGAACTGAAGGACAAGAGATGAGATCAACAGCAGAGGCTGGCTCAGTAGGTTCAGTGTCATTAAGTTCAGGATCTAGCTCAACTTGACGAGATGCATTCTTCTTTTTCCTCTTCTTCTTATTATTGTTAAAGCATGGCCAGTACATGCTAACAGAGATCCCCGATTAGGTGAGTTTCACTGTCCAGACAGATTGCTGGAGAGTTAGCTTCCGTGTTTGCAGCTCACCAGATAAAGAAAAGACGGTGAAGAGCAGCACAAACTCCCTCTAAAGCAAAGCCACATGTTTCACTATCCGACGCCATTTTTTCTGTAGTTATATGGCAGGCTAGCAGTACTAGACTCTCTCAAATCTTTTAAAATTATATCTAGGCAGCAGTATTGTGCTACATTACTTGTCATAAGCCACTCGTAAGAAGAAAAAACTTAAGCTTCTTTAGTCACATGTCATACTAAGGCCATTTTCATAGATAGTTGAGTATAAAGGGATTGGAAACCACAGGAATTATTACATGCAGATGATGCGTATCCTAGCAACGTATGCAAGTTGCCCCCCACAAATGAGCAAAATGGAGGAAGAGTCTTTTGCTTTGGTGTTTGTAAATCTAGATGGATGCCAGAGCGAGCTGATTTTATAATCTACCTGTAAAGTTTAAGACCTACTCTATTCATTGATGTGTAGTTTTGTCCATTGCAACTAAACAAGGGTGTTTATTGTCCACCGGATTTTAAGGCCTTTTCACACTGGCACAGTTTTCAAAGCGCCACTTGATGCGCTTTGTTGATACAGCTGAAATAATGCGCATTGATCGTGTTCACACTAGCAGCTGGATTATGTATCATTTTGTGTTCTTGTTGCCATTGGTTTACATTGATCGGAGCTCATCACTTCACACCAATCCACCTCTGGAGGTGAAGCGAGAGTGATGCGCATTAATTGAAAACCGCTCTAGTGTGAACACGATTAATGCTCATCAATGCGCATTACTTGTGCCAGTGTGAAAAGGCCTTTAGTTTTGTACCTCTTACACAAAAGGTTCTTGATATATTTGACTGTAACGTTTATAAACAAATAAACAATGTCAAACTGGAGGGCAATGTCAAGTTTTTAAAGAAAAACAATGTAGTGTTGGAAAGTTATGAGCTAAAAACTGTTCTAAAAACTAGTTTTGTTTTGTACCCTTAGCTCAATCACAATAGATGCTGCAGCTTTGAAACTTCATATATAAATACATCATCCACATGTTGAGGGCAATAAGGTATAATTGTATCTTCATTTCACTGTATAAGTAAATAAAGCTTCATTTTCTATTATTTTGGCATCATAATGATCAGACAGTCTGTTGACACAAGTGCAGCACTTCTTTTAGGATCCACCTCATCAAGCAAGAGCAAGATACTTTCTCGTTATCAAAATAATGATAAGAAATCATTTTTGTTAAAATAAAAGCCAAGTAAGAATTAAAAAATACTGGGAAAGTTCCAACATCCTTGCTTCATCCCTCCATTTTCTTGTGTTTTTCAATATTTTTTATCTCTTTAAATAGAAATTTAATTTGAATACAATACGGTATTGACAACTAGCATTTCCTGCCACGAACGGTGGTTTCCAATCCCTTTCCTGTACTCTAATATTTTTGCCATTTTATTGGCACAGAAACCACGCCTCTATTAATACCTTATTTTTAAGTAGACAAATTTTTGCGATTTGTTAATGGTACTGATTTAGCGAGTACTAATTTTTTTGCGATTTTGCTCTTTTTCCCAATTAATAACTGTTAATAAACCTAAATTATTAATAAATGCGAGTACTAATTTTTGCGATTTTAAAGCCACTCACAAAAAAACAAAAAATTAGTACTTGCAAATAATAGTGGCCTTAAAGAAGAAGGTGCACTATAAAACTATCCATGCGGCGTCATAGAATCGCTTCCGCCCGTCACCGTATAAAAGGAGGTGCCCTGGGCACAATATGGCGGCCACATTTGAAAATAACAAAATGGCTCCCGCACTGGCACTGTTCTTATCATGGCTAAATCACTAGCAAAACACATTATAAAAACATTAAAATTAGTAAAGGCGAGAGAGTTAACCTACAAGCACAGGTAGAAAGCATGGCAAGAAGAGAAATGGTATAATTGACTTGAAGTAATAATTTTTACATTACTAGAAGCAATGTAGAACATTAAGGGGCGAGCCTAAGCTAGCAAAGAAATTATGGCACTGGATCTATCCATCTATAATCTACTCCCGATGATTTCAAAGCATGCATCATGATTTAGGCATAGCAAACATGATTTACATGGTGAAAGTTTAATGCTGCTGATAAAATTAATTAATAAACTTTTAGTCTTCTAGTTTCACATACACATTTCTTGCCTATAAATGTCTGTAAAGATGCTTTACTTAGCTTTAGATATAATATTATCCAATATTAAGATGACTGAGAAAAAGCTTGATTGACTTTCACAGTTTTAATAGCAATTGCATCAGTAAAGACGAGCTTCATAGGTTATTAATTGAATTTAAAACCTTCTGTAGCTGCTGGGGAAGTCTTTGGACGGTATCTGCCTTATATTGCTGCTAGAAAGCTCATGAATTCTTCCAGTGTGTTGGTTGCCATTTTTATTAGTAACGCGGTAGCGTTACTAAGTAGGATTCACCCCCAAACAAAATGGCTGCCACGACTTTTGCAGCCTTGCTATACCAGGAAAACGAGCTCCTATGCTTACCAGACTTCTTAGAGGACCTCATCTTGACCAGAGGACTCCATTGGTACCACTAGCGTGGCTCTAGACCTTGTCTAAGAGAAAATCCAAAAATAGGCGAACCGGCCGTTTTGTTCAGCCACCTTTTTTCATCTTCATCATCATCATCATCATCATCATCATCAAGTCAGAAGTCCTGTCAATCCAGTTGTCGGTGTGTATCTCAGTATTGGTTGGTGCTACAAGGATAATTCTTACACCAATCTACTCCAACAGTCTATGCGCAGGTCCATGTCCCATTAGATCATTCTTCAAGTGAGGAAAAAGTGATACTGTGACTGCTGGATCGAGCCATCTTAGCTGCATGCCGCCATTTTGTTAATTAAAGAAGCTTGCCATGTGCTCCAAAATTTGGGTGTGGTCGCGCATGCTCAGATCTGCAGCTCTCGAAGAAGCAAGTTATTTTACCAAGCTATGCTTGGAATCAACTTACTGCAAT